ATAATCAGCTATTTTTATAATAATCAGCTATTGGTATCCCCTACTCTGTAATCGATCAAAAGTCTGCAAATCTGTATCCCAGATGAATCACTGTAGAAGAAAAATGAGAAAAGATAGGAAAAGTTTGTTTTTGGATTTACTTCCTTCAAACTTTTAATAACCATATAGAAACAAACTCGAAAATTATTTTTAAGTTAAAACTAACAGATAAAATATATATTTTATACATATATGTATTTCTTTCGATATATTTTTTAAATGGTTCTTAAATGTAACACAGCACTCGGCCCTTAGTATGTCCTAGCCGTAGCGCTCGGCCCAGAAATTGTCTTAACCAAACATAACCCTGAAATGATGTAAATAAATATCAATATCATGTTGAAAAATAGTAGAAATCGGTTGTACAAGCAGGAGTGGAAGGGAGGACGGGGTTGGGGGGTCGAAAAATCTCCTACTATAGGACTGGACCTAAAGTTTTGGCATTTATTTTCAATCTGTGGGTGTCAATTTTTTATTTAGAAGAAAACATTTTAAAGACTTAAATAATTCTATACGTAAACCTCAAATTATATTTTGTACACTGGTTCTTATTGATTGATGTCCATTTTTACATCTCCCTGAGTCCGAATTTAATGAATTTTAGGCCTGAGCCCGAAATTTAAAAAAGTATCGTTGAACGAAACTCTCGAGTTTCCTTTTTGGAGTCTTAACATTTGTGTAGATTTTGATTTAAGAGATTCGACAAAAATGGAAAATATGAAGAATCTAAATAAAAAAATATTTCAATAACAAAAATATTGATATCCACAAAACTGCCTAACCCCATTCGTAAAACCCGGGTTTTAAAACTGGTTTTCATAACGATACCCTGTCTTAAATTTTGGGCCCTGAATTTATAAATTTAACACGTTTAAGCTACCACCTATTTCTCTTTCCCGAACACATTTTTAAAACTAAGGATCGTGAAATAAGAGTAAAGTTGACCAATATTATGGTAATTTCAAGGTTCATAGGTTTTATATCAACTTTTCTATCACTTCAAAGCTATGCCATTTTTTAAGGAGATGGGTATAGTACTTTAAATTTTATTTAATTTTTTTAAATTCCAGAATGTGACAATTCTAGTATTTCAGAATATGATTTAAATGGGTATAGGTTTTTATATATAATTTAATTTGTTTTAAATTTCAGAATATGATTTGAATTCAATTTATTTAATTTTAGAATGTGATATTATCTGTATTTTTTTAGTTTCAGAATTGTTATTTTTAATTGATCTATTTTCAGAATGTGACTATGTGAAGTTAGAGAAACTCTGAAGTGAGCAGTGAACATCAAGAAAATCAGTGACAAACAGAGAAAATGTGAATTATACTTAAACATGCAGTGTAAAAGCTAAAACAAGCCTTTTCAGCCATGCTGGCTCTAAACCACAACCCTACCTGGGTGGTAACGCCCCTAATTCTTCTTCTTATAGGGGTGGGCTGTACAACAAATAGCAAAGATGGTAAGTTTTCTTTATTCATGGTTACTTTTAACAGCTTTTACACTGGTCCCAGGGCCTTGTAAATTAACTTCTATTGGAGACGTAGTATACCTCTATTTACTGGAGACCTAGTATACCTCTATTTACTGGAGACCTAGTATCCCTCTATTTACTGGAGACCTAGTATCCCTCTATTTAAACCTCTCTCTGATCAAGAATGAATGAGATATCTTCGAGTTTCTAGCTGAAAATTAATTATCTACAAGTTCTCTAGAAGTATCCCTTGAATTTGACTTTTTGAGAATATTATTTCGAAAAATGTTTTTGTTTTGTTTTTGAATAAATATAAGCTCGATTTTTACCAAAATCGCTAAAATCCTAAACTGCGATTTACAATGCTTTCTTTGCTTTCAACACAGCTTGAAAAGAATAGAAAATTAAATCTTCTAATTATTAATAATTCCTTATTTTTCTCATGATCAATGATCAATGATCATTCTTGATTTCAGATTTATGATCTTTTTTATTATTTTCAGCTGTTGAGAAAATCTGTGATGTCTTTTTAATTTTCCATTTTTTATTATGTGAAGAAAATCTTAAGATCCGTCCTGGAATAATTTATTGTTGACACGATTTTAGTTTGAATATATCATTTCTAAGTTAAAATTCGTAAAAAAAAATTCTTCTTTGTTTCTGACATTTTCAAATAAAAAATTCAACCGACCATCTTTCCTGTTTAAAAATTAATTTTGTTTTCAACTAAAATTACAGTTTTCAAACAAGACACAGAAAACCTAAATGTCAAATGTTCCAATTAAAAAATTTTTTTTTCATTATTTTATGGTGCTATTAACGGATTTTTATTACCCCCCCCCCCCTTCTAATCTCACTTAACCCACCCTCTTACATTAATTACAATGATTTATTATTTATTTCCCCATATCTTCTTTTTTTCCCCCACTCAGCAACAAATGCCCCAACCCCCATTTGGTCCCCCCCCCTCTTTGTTTTCCAACCCATTCAATATATGTAATTTACATAATAGATGCTCAACATATGTATGTATCTATGCATTTCTCCTGGGGAAATTCCCCTTGCTCAAATCCCCCACCTCGACTATGAATTCCCTCACCTCTTTGCAATTTCCCCCTAGTCCCAATTCATCCATGTCGATACCACCCAGAATTTCTCCATTTTTAACCCCCCACTTTCTTTTTTTCCACCACTTTCTTTTTTTCCCCAACCTGTCTCTTCAACATTTAAGACCTTTATCTCTTTACTTATTCTTGTTAGTTACAGTTTTTTTTCAATTGCAAGTAAATATATCGACTCTGCTGTTAAAAAAATAAAAAGTAATGGGGAAAAATTTATGTTTTTTGTATTAACTATAGTTAGATACAAAGGTAAAGTTTACAGAGGCCGAATTTAAAGAATTAAAGCCGCGGCTTAAATTTGAGACGCGGCTCAAATATGGTTGGTTCCACTTCAAATTGTATTAAGAAGTAATAACTCGATTAGTCACATCAAGAAGAATGCAAACTTAAAATTCAAATTTGCAGAAATTTGCTTAAAATTTTTGTAATTAGTGTGCAAATTTTAAGTTTTTAACATTAAGGGGAGAGTTACTGTAATGAGTTCAAAATGTTATATATTTTACAGTCAAAGTACTTTGATAGCATGAAGCATGGGCCTTACTTTATATCTGAGCTGAGATAGATAAATAGATAGAAAAATAAGTAGATAGATAGATATATAGTAAGTAAGCTATAATGTAAACATTTACATTCTCATGTTTAAATCATTGAAGGTATGACGTAATCACCATTTACCTTTTCATGAAGAAGCAAATATAACTTTTTCAATTAGCTTAAGTTGGGTTTTTTTTCGTTAAAATTAAGTTGAGATCTTAAAGGGACAACAGGCGTAAATTTAATTAAGTTGAGATCTTAAAGGGACAACAGACGTAAATTTGAATTAATTCTCAGCTAAACCCAGCTTGTCTGATCAAAATTGAATTAGTGTTATGCATTTTTTTCTCTTTAAAAACTTATTTTTTTCAATTGTGGTTTCTTTACATAATTGACTTGTGCATTGAAATAACAATTTTAAGACTATGGATTATTTAAAAAAAACAATATTTTACAATGAAAGCTATATTTTTTACTCGTTAATGCTATACAGTGTATATTTTTTACAAAAATTGTTTTTTAAACATTTTATTCAAAAATATATTTTTTCTGAAAAATAAAACCGGTAATATGATAACACCAGTAAAATTTAGAAATTTTTCTATTCTTATGAATTTTCAAGGAAATAAACACCTGGTTTAATATTTTGCAGAAAATGAATCGTAAAAAGTTGAAATTATTGACAGAAAAATGAGCTTTAATACTAAAGTTAAACTCAAAACCACACATTTTTATCAAGTTTTTTATTTCTTGTAACTGTGTATTCAACCTAATAAAGGTGGTTGAAACCTGTTACTATAACTGGATGCCTAGGAATGCAGAATGCTGAATGTAGGCCTATTTTAAAAGATTTAAAAAATCCAGATTATTTATTATTTTTTTTCTAGAAATTATTTTTGTTTATTTAATCATTATGATGAAGTTAATTTTCTTTACTTTTCAAAATATTTTTTACATTTTTTTGTTGTAACCTGCAAATATTTCTTTTGGTCAGGATATTAAAATAAATTTTAATCGTTTTTTTTTTATGAAAATTGTTAAATATCTAGGTTGAAAATGGCTGGGACAAATCAATGTCATAATTGTATTAAGGGTCTCAAAGCTCCCAACTAACTTTTTATCTTTCTGTAAATAAATGTCGTTTCTCGAATTGTAATTTTAATAACTGATAAGGAATTGAATTCTTATATTTACTTTTTATATGGAAACTTAATATTCAATACACCCCTCAATAGGGGAATTCTATTTTATATGTATGTAACATGTATACAGTAGTAATCTTTGATATGTCTCAAATTTGATTGGGAAACTCGGTTGAACCATTGGAATGTCTAAATTTCTTAGTTTAAGTTAGTTCCTATCTGATAGGGTTGAATAGGGCGGAGTAGTTCCTATCTAATAAGGGGTGAATAGGGCGGAGTAGTTTCTATCTGACAGGGTTGAATAGGGCGGAGTAGTTCCTATCTAACAGGGTTAAATAGGGCAGAGTAGTTCCTTTCTAATAGGGGTGAATAGGGCGGAATAGTTCCTTTCTAATAGGGTTGAATATGGCGGAGTAGTTCCTTTCTAATAGGGTTGAATAGGGCGGAGTAGTTTCTATCTGATAGGGTTGGATAGGGCGGATTAGTTCCTTTCTAATAGGGTTGGATAGGGCGGAGTAGTTCCTTTCTAATAGGGTTGAATAGGGCGGAGTAGTTCCTTTCTAATAGGGTTGAATAGAGCTGAGTAGTTCCTTTCTAATAGGGTTGAATAGGGTGGAGAAGTTCCTTTCTAATAGGGTTGAATAGGGCGGAGTAGTTTCTATCTGACAGGGTTGAATAGGGCGGAGTAGTTTCTATCTGATAGGGTTGAATAGGGCGGAGTAGTTCCTTGCTAATAGGGTTGAATAGGGCGGAGTAGTTCCTTTCTAATAGGGTTGAATAGGGCGGAATAGTTCCTATCTGATAAGGTTGAATAGGGCGGAGTAGTTCCTATCTGATAGGGTTGAATAGGGCGGAGTAGTTCCTATCTGATAAGGTTAAATAGAGCGGAGTAGTTCCTATCTGATAGTGGTAAATCGGGCGGAGAGTTCTTATCTAATAGGGTTGAATAGGGCGGAGTAGTTCCTATCTGATAGGGTTAAATAGGGCGGAGTATAGTTCCTATCTGATAAGGTTAAAGAGGGCGGAGGATAGTTTCTATCTGATAGGGTTAAATAGGGCGTAGTATAGTTCCTATCTAATAGGGTTAAATAGGGCGGAGTATAATTCCTATCTAATAGGGTTAAATAGGGTGGAGTAGTTCCTATCTGACAGGGTTGAATAGGACGTTGTATTTTCTATCTGAAAGTGTTAAATAGGGCGGAGTAGTTTCTAACTGACAGGGTTAAATAGGGCGGAGTAGTTCCTATCTGACACGGTTAAATAGGGTGGAGTAGTTTCTATCTGACAGGGTTAAATAGGGCGGAGTAGTNGAGCAATAGCAATTTCTAGAAAATCTATGAATAATATATTGTGTTGTGTACTCGATCCATCTCTAAACCTACATTTAAACTTGTTTAAGAGAAATACCCCCTCCAAATTTTATTTATGAAGAAAAATGAAAGTATTTTGATTTTAAAAAGACATTTCCTCCTAACACCTCTTCTGAAAAAATATGATCTTTGTAGATAATGAATATTTTTTTGGATAAAAGATTTTAAAAGTGGCTAAGTTCTTGTGTACCTTTTTCTAGATCTCGTTTAAAATTTTTTAAATCCCCCCCTCTCTCTCTAGCACCCTCCTCTAAAGTCGTGTCAGTGTATTTTTAAACCCACAATGGAAGAAATGGTTGACTATAAAAGTTAGGTAATAAAAGACTAACTTAATAAAGAAGTTGCAACCTTTTTTACACAGAAAGGGCGTTGTTAATTTTGTTTTATGAACACACTGGAATTAAGTTTTAAAAACAGACTTGAAACTTGACAAATAAAAAAAAATTGTCGTATATAAATTATGGATAAATGTGCAGACTGCAGGTATACATAAACAGGGATATAGAATATTAGTGGACAAATAGATACTCATAAAATTAAACCAGATAGGTTAGAATAGATGGACTAGCAGATAGATGGACTATCATCTAGTTGGACTGTCAGCCAGATGGATTTGCAGATAGATGTACTAGCAGATAGATGGACTAGCAGATAGATGGTCTAGCAGATAGGTGGACTAGCAGATAGATGGGCATCAGATACATAGACTAGCAGATAGATGGACTAGCAGATATATGGACTAGCAGATAGATGGACTAGCAGATAGATGGACTAGCAGATAGATGGACTAGTAAATAGATGGACTAGCAGATAGATGGATTAGCAGATAGATGGACTAGCAGATAGATGGACTAGGAGATAGATGGACTAGCAGATAGATGGACTAGCAGATAGATGGACTAGCAGATAGATGGACTAGCAGATATATGACTAGTAGAAATGTGAACTAAAAAGAAGGAGTGATTAATATGGGTTCATTGATAGATGTTTAGATTAGAAAATTGTTGTATAGAAAAATTAATTAAACTGAAGATGAGAGAAATTATTAATTTCTTTTCACGAGGGTTTATGCTGAGATATATTCTTCCATTTTTCACTTAGCATGAACAGCTGATTTTACCCACAAGCGTAAACGACTGATTTTAGTCAAATGTAAGCAGTAATCAGTATTAAGCTGTTGGCACCAAAATTAGCGCCTTTTTTAAAACGTTTTTTTTATCAGATTTAGATGTAGGTTATATAATCAGCTGTTGGTATCATTATCACATATCGGTATCATAATCAGCTGTTGGTAACATAATCAGATGTTGGTAACATAATCAGATGTTGGTAACATAATCAGCTATTGTTATCATAATCAGCTATTGTTATTATAATCAGCTATTGGTATCATAATCAGCTGTTGGTAACATAATCAGCTGTTTGTAACATAATCAGCTGTTGGTAACATAATCAGCTGTTGGTAACATAATCAGCTATTTGCACCATAATCAGCTATTGTTATCATTATCAGCTATTGGTATCATAATCAATTGTTGGTAACATAATCAGCTATTTTTATAATAATCATCAATTGGTATCATAATCAGCTATTTTTATAATAATCGGCTATCGGTATCATTATCAGCTATTGGTATCAAAATCAGCTATTTTTACAGTAATCAGCTATTGTTATCATAATAAGCTATTTTTATAATAATCAGCTATTGGTATCATTATCAGCTATTGGTATCATAATCATCTATTTTTATAATAATCCGCTATTGGTATCATAATCAGCTATTTTTATAATAATCAGCTATTGACAACCCTCTGTTTTGAAGGAGGTAATTTTTTAGAACAAAATTAATTTTCCTCAGTCAGCTTTCCAGTTAATGGTAAATAATTTTACCAAAGAAAATATATAATCAATCGTTGAGTTTCATTTTGAATTACGAACAGTTAGGGTGAATGAAAAAAAATCAATATGTGTCTTCAATTACTGAGGACAAAGGAAGTTTCAAAATATTTTTAGTTTAAAATCGACCACGCTTATTTTCTATTTAAAGAAAATCTGTTAAAAAAGTATTGCCAAGCACGTACATACTTGTTTTATGGTATATGTCACTAAAAAAATGGTTACCGATACTAAAGCTCTTTCATAGATTTGTTATAACAGGTATTTTTTTAAAGAAAACTTTTAACTATTAATATTATTTTTGTTAAACATGAGTATGAGGAAAGGAGTTTTAATGAAGAATATTATTTTTTTACTGCTTTTGTAAAAACACATTTTGTTTTGTTAGACATCTAAACTGAACTGAGAACGTAAACTATGCTGCCTCAAGTAGAACTTCCTAAACACCATATCTTAAAAATCCTTGTTAGATTTTCATAAAACATTGATAGTATATCTTAAGACATTGATGGAAAATCATAAAACTGGTTAGAATCTTAAAAATCCTAGATAGAATTTCATAAACCCTTGATAGAATTTCATAAACCCTTGATAGAATATCATAAACCCTTGATAGAATATCATAAAATTGGATAGAATCTCATAAAATCTTAGTAGAATCTCATAACTTTGGTAGATTCTCATAAAACAGTGATAGAATCTCATAAAACCGTGATAGAATCTCATAAAACCGTGATAGAATCCCATAAAACCTTGATAGAATCTCATAAAACCGTGATAGAATCTCATAAAACCGTGATAGAATCCCATAAAACCTTGATAGAATCTCATAAAATTTAAAATAATCTCAGAAACCTTTCATAAATCTAATAAAATAGAAAATTGTATAAACTTGAGAGAAATACAGTTTTTTTTTCTTCAAAATTTCTTTTTATTTTTGTAGAAAATTAACACTCAAACAGATCTATTCATTTAGATAAGCTTTATTGTCTAGTTAATACTGGGGGAGAGATAATCTTATATACCGGTTCTCATATATATTTTTACATTGTTAGAACTACATACCTACCTTCTTACCTAAAAACAAGTAAACAAGTAAACAAGTAAACAAGTAAACAAGTAAACAAGTAAACAAGTAAACAAGTAAACAAGTAAACAATCTGTTGTGTTTACTTTGTATAATACAGGAATCCCAGAATATATTAAAACTAACAGACATTTCATTATTTTAATGGATTTCGCCTGTTTTTCTTTGCTTTTAATCGACAAGCTTATATTCCAAGTCTTTAAAAAAAATAAAATTGAAAACCTAATGGAAATACAATTATATAAATATATATTTAACAACTTGAATAGAGGTTTAATCCATGTTTAACTAAGTAGAAGTAGTATGAACTATATTATTAAAATATATAAATATTATTTTTTAAAAATGCTTCTGCTTATTTTCATATTTTGTCAACTTATGAAGCTCTGAAAAGGCTTTTATCATATTCCTCCATTATACTGTCAAGTGACCAGTATTAATATTCCACGCTGTAGAAATATGAATTATTACTTAAATAAAAACCTTAAAAACACCTTATACCTCTCTCCTTCTCTATTTATTTAATTTTTTTATGTCAAATACGTTCATGTATAATCAATTTATCTTAAAAACAAATTTTTTTACATTAATAATTCAAAAGTATGATTTATATGGTTTATGTTCTTAATGTGTGACCTTGTAAATGTCTAGGCTCTTCTAGACGGGGGGGGGGGCAGATATTTTTCTTTATTTCTGTGTCTTTAAAAAATTATTATCTACTTATTCATGATTCATCTACTTTACATCTACCTATTCATGATACATCTACTTTATATCTACCTATTCATGATTCATCTACTTTACATCTACCTATTCATGATACATCTACTTTATATCTACCTATTCATGATTCATCTACTTTCCATCTACCTATACATCTACCTATCAATCTTCCTATCGAGATACCTATTCATCTACCTATTTAGCTACCTATCTATGTTTCTATTATCTTCTTTCTATGAGTCTACCTATCTGCAAATTTATTATATTTGCTTCAATCTTGTATCTATCTATCTATCTATCTATCTATCTATCTATCTATCTATATATCTATCTATCTATTTACCCATATCCTGAGTAAGCTAACCTTGACATCTAACCCCAGTTTTAATCCAGTCTATGTATATCAATATCAACATCCTTTAGATCCTCTTCTTCCACACTTTCTCCTCTTCCATTTTCTATCTTCTTATTTTCTCTTTATATCCTCTTCTTCCATCTTCTTATTTTCTCTTTAGATCCTCTTCTTCCATCTTCTTATTTTCTCTTTAGATCCTCTTCTTCCACACTTTCTCCTCTTCCATCTTCTATTATCTTATTTTCTCTTTAGATCCTCTTTCACACTTTCTCCTCTTCCATCTTCTATCTTCTTATTTTCTCTTTAGATCCTCTTCTTCCATCTTCTTATTTTCTCTTTAGATCCTCTTCTTCCACACTTTCTCCTCTTCCATCTTCTATTATTTTATTTTCTCTGTAGATCCTCTTCTTTCACACTTTCTCTTCTTCCATCTTCTATCTTCTTATTTTCTCTGTAGATCCTCTTCTTCCATCTTCTTATTTTCTTTTTAGATCCTCCTAATCTATCTTCTTTCTTCTTATTTTCTCTTCAGATCCTCTTCTTCCATCTTATTATTTTTCTCTTTAGATCCTCTTCTTCCCCAAAATCCCAAAGTCCCAAAATCGTTCTCTAGGACGGCCCCATCTTTTTATTTTTTCTTCTTACCAATTTTCTCTTCTTCTAATCTATTCTCTATTATTTTCTTCTCTTTATAGAAAATATCTCTCTTCCATTCTTCTGTATATCAAATATTTTTTAACTTTCCTTTTTCTATTTTTTCCCGTTAGCATTCAAATGTTTTTTGTTTTGTTTTAAGTGACCTTGCTAGACCTTTCTTGACCTTGTTAGACTTTTCTTGACCTTGTCAGACTTTTCTTGATCTTTCTTGACCTTGTCCTAGCATGTTTTACCTTATTTGACCTTGTTTTTGTCATACCCTATCAAACCTTATTAGACCTTTCTTGACTTTGTAAGACTTATCTTGATCTTTCTTGACCTTGTCCTAAGCTTGACCTTGTTTGACCCTGTTTTTGTCATATTTTATCATGTTAGACATTTCTTGACTTTGTTAGACTTTTCTTGACCTTTCTTGAGATTTCTTAACCTTTCTTGACCTTGTTTGACCTTGTTTGACCTTGTTTGACCTTGTTTGACCTTGTTTGACCTTGTTTGACCTTGTTTGACCTTGGTTGACCTTGGTTGACCTTGGTTGACCTTGTTTGACCTTGTTTGACCTTTTATGAACTTGTCTGAACTTGTTTGACCTTGGGTGACCTTTGTTGACCTTGTTTGACCATGTTTGATCTTTTTTAACCTTCTTTGATCTTGTTGGACCTTATTAGACCTTTCTTGACCTAGTTAGACCTTGTTTGACCTTTCTTGACCTTGTCGTAGAGGGTTTAACCTTGTTTGTCAGACCTTGTTAGTGTTTTTGTCAGACCTTGTTTGACCTTTCTTTTCTAACCTTGTTCCTTGTTAAACCATGTGAAACCTTTTTAACCTTGTTTGACCGTGTTTGACCTAATTAGACCTGTTAACATTTTTTTCTTTTTTGGGGCTGTGCTTTGACTTTTTGATCTATTTGACCTTTGACCATTATTATTGTGTTCAGGAGGTCGGAATATTGTTGTTGAGTTCTCTGATCCCCGTGTAGGAGTTCTACTTCAACAACAAGGAGAAGATGAAGGTCCACAGTTTAATAACCTAGTTGTAGACAAGAACACTGGCAGGGTGTACATCGGAGGGATCAACAAGCTCTACCAGCTCTCTCCCAACCTAGAGCTTATGGTAAGTCATTTTACTTTTACTTTTTTTTTCATCGTACAATGCTTTTTTTAATCGAACAATTAAATGGTCAGTGCATTAATTTTCAAGCATTTCGTCTAAAAAGATTTTTCCTTATACTTACCGTTCAAAGTCTCAAGTTTTTTTTTCTATAAATTACTCTAATTCATAGTTAATATTTAGGCTTATTAGTTAAACTTTTTAAGTTTTAACTTATTCATGAGAACTTCATTCATTATTTCCCATAAAAATTAATTAATTCATTGAATAAAAGTAAACAATATATCTAATAAGAAGTAAACATGAGAACATGAAAAATTAAACTATTCCTAGAATTAGAAAATTTCAGAGAATCTCAGTTCGTATTGAAACCCTCTAGAGTCTAGAGCATGATATTGGGATTCAAAGTAATAAAATGGTCTCTTCAAAATTTACTGTTCATTCCTAAATGCCTAAAAATCAAGTCAATTAGAGGCAGATGGAGTTTTTTTTATTGTAACCTAAGCCGATAATACAACCTTTTGTGTAGTTATTCAAGCCAAACACTTAAACACCCTCCCTCCCCCCCGGACATTCTCCTTCAAAAGGATTGCATGTTCTTTAACAAAGGCAAAGAGAAGTTTTTAAATTCCAGCTTAAAAATCTATTTCAATCTTCAGAACCCCTTCCCTCATTGGATACTATACTAACTACTTAGGGTTAAATACAATTAATTGTTTTAAACTAGTTTCTACTCATTTTAAAAATCCTTTTCATAAATGTACACTGAACACTGAACACTGAACATTAACAATACATATACAATTCTACTGTGGTTGGTGGTTTGTTAGCTAGATATTTGGTTGGTTGGTTGATTTGCTAGTTTGCTGTTAAAGGTCTACATGGTGGATTGGTTGTTTTTAGGCGAGAGGGTATTTTGATGGTTGGATAGTTGGTGGGTTGGAGGAGGGAGGGAGTCCAGAGTTCCTCAAATAGTAATCACCGCCACCCAAATCTGTTTTGCGGCAAGCGCGCTCCTCAATTGGTAATCTCCACCACCTCAAATAGTAATCACCCCAAAAAAGCATAAAATTAAATCGTTTACTTCTTAGAAATAAGACCATATTGACCTCTTTTAATGGCCCTATGGTGTACAATATTGTTAAAGCTTTCTTTATTGCTCCTTAGTTTCGAAAATAAATCAATAAATATGCCACACTAAGTGCTAGAAATATATTACGTTTTTTAGTTTCAAGTTTCGCTTTAAGAATGTTTGCGGCATTTTCCTCTGAATGTTG